CTCCTCCTCCTCCTCCTCCTCCTCCTCCTCCTCTTCTTCTTCTTCTTCTTCTTCTTCTTCTTCTTCTTCTCTTGGGTTTTTCAGGACAGGCTTTCTCTGTAGCTTTGGACTCTGTCCTGGCCTCGACCTCACAGAGATCCACCTGCCTCTGCCTCCCAAGTGCAGGGATTAAAGACTTGTGCCACCATCTCCTGGCTGGGGCTTCGTTCATAACGGCAATTCCAACTATGAAGGCTCAGTCATGGCGGCCTGTCACCTTTCCAAAGGCCCCACCCACAAGTGACATCATGTTTTCAAAACATGAATTTGGGTGAGATACATATATAGACCATGGAACCAACAGCGAAAGACAGCGCTATTTCTCTGAAGAAGCTCATTGCTGCTGCTTGCGATGAACGTGCTTAGAGAGGTTAAACGCAGCCTGTGCACTTGGTGGCCATGCCACAGACCCTAAGGAGGAGGAGTGTGGAACCACTAGTCAACACCCTTCTGTAGGTCCCTCAGCTTTTTGTTTGCTCCTGCCTTACAATGAATGTCCTGGCTTGGGGTTATGGATGGTGAAATTACTATTATTGTTATTATCTTATTTATGGTTATGATGGTGTGTTATTATTATTATTATTGTGTGAGCATGCGATGGGGAAGGGAGCGTGCCACAGCAGGCACAGAAGGAGGTCAGACAACTGTGTGGAGTCAGGTCTCTCCTTCCACTTTCATGTGGGTTCTTGGGGGTTGAACCCAGGTTCCCTGGCCTTGCGCAGCAACTACCTTAACTAGCTAAGGCACTTCCCCTTCCCTGAGGCGTTAAATTTTGAGGCTATTTCTCCTATATAACCCTCAACATTAACTCTGGGTGAGCAGCATTTGCTTGAATAACACTCTTGTTAACACAGAGTAACAATGCAATGCACCGTTCACCAGTTCAAGAAAGAGCCTGTCTGTAAAACTCTCCTTCCGGGGGAAAAATGTTAGAGAACCTAGCTCTGCCAAGAAGAAACCAGTGTTATCTACACTGGCAGCTATGTTACCACCTCCATATTTTGTCCTATTTCCTTCACCTCTATGGAACTTTCTCAGACTGAACAGACTTAAAGAAAACAAGGCAAAGCTCCCTAAGGCAGTGGCAACACCTTGGGGCTAATCGAAGGCTCTTCAGTCCTATCTTGGAAAGTATTCTGCGTTGCAACATTGAAAAGCATCCTTCAGAAGAGATTACTGGGACAGATGAGATAACTCCCTAGGTAAAGGCACTTGCCACTAAATAGGTGATTAAAATTCACTGGGACCCACATGGTGGAAGACAGGAAAACCAACTGCTACAGGTTGTCACTGGGCCTCTATGTCATCAGACATTGGTACCATGGCACACATGCACCCCACACACATACAACATAAATAAAATATAAAGTAATGTTTTTAGATAAGTCGCTGGCCCTTATCCGCTGTGGGCAGTTGCCAAGGACTCTGGCTATTGACATGCAGTCTCAGAAGAAGGGTGAGCCAGCACTAGGTTTCCATAGGCTCCCTTGCCTCCAAGTTCTCTGAACCCTAGAAACTATGGCTTCCCCTCAGATTTCCACACAGCAAATGCCACTAGCCAACGTTTTCTTCAGTGCTAAGGCAGGTATGGCTTTTTGTGGGCTGCTGTCTTAAAAATCTGCAGGACTGCAGAGAGCTAAGGGTAAACTGAGTGAGGCCGGCTCACTCCCCTGTCCTGTGCAACTGTTTTGTAAGGTCAGCGAGAGTGGATTTAAGTGAAGGCTTGTAAGTCGCAAACTAATCCCTATCGACCACACCTGTAGTTTAACTTGCTGTGGATAAGTGGTCTAGATACTGCTCTTTGGAGCGGTGCCCCCCAGCGTGGACACAGGGGCTGGGAGAGGCATGGACCTGACTTCCCACCAGTCCTTCTGACCGTGGCTGCTTTTCCTTTTCAACTGCGAAGACGGCTAGGAGGACCTGTGCTACCCTTTCCCTCATTTGGGGACTTGAATGAGGGCTGGCCAGATCCTGTGACCAGTCCAGAAGGCAGTGTTGGAAAGGAACAAACTGCTCTCGCTCTCTTCTCCTTTGTTTTGATTCAACTTATTCAGTGAAAAACAAAAAAAAAAGTAAAAAGAGGTAGTGGCAGCAGAGCCAGGCAGACACATCCTGCCCACCTTTACCACCTCCCTCAAGGTGATAAAATATTTGTCTGTATGGTGAGGGGAGGATTTCCAGAAGCTCATAGGCTCAGGGGCAGGGAGGGGACACAGGCTTGGAAATCCTGGTCTTGGGTGTGACAGGGTCTGTGAGCAGAGTCTGGGAGTGGGGATGTTTCTGCAGCTGCGCTCTCTTTCTCCCCAGAGACTTGACGATCATGAATGACCTCAGGATAAAGAAAAGAAGGACCGAAGACACCTCTGACAAGGAAAAGCAATATGTGGTCTCAGTTTAAAATGGCGTTTCAGGTTCTGGAAGAAAGCCTGGGAACCTTTTCTAGGGTCAAGGGCAATGAAGAAATCTAACACCCAAGTGCAAGTGTCAGAATCTGCATTAGATGCTAGGCCAGTGCAAAAAAAAGAGCTTTCTCTTGCAATAAAAGATACTAGTGGGACTCCTGGCCAATGTGAGTAATGTTTAATATTGATTTATGGATTGTTTTGTTTTGTTTTTAGAGACAGGTTTTCTCTGTGTAACAGTACTGGCTGTCCTGGAACTCGTTTTGTAGACCAGGCTGGTGTCGAATGATGATGGAGGAAGGTCATTGAGCAATAAAGAAACTGCTTGGCTGGCCCTGATAGGTTAAAGCATAGGTGGGAGGAGTAAACATAATAGGATGCTGGGTGGAAAAGGAAGTGAGGTCAGACTCTGCTCTGCTCCCGGAGAGACCCGACAGCCCTGCTCTCTGGAGCAGAGACGCCAGGCTCTGCTCTCCCAGGCAGCTCTGACCCAGGAGGCTAGAATCTTCCCGGTAAGCGCACCTTGGGGTGCTTACATACATTACTAGAAATGGGCTAGTCCAGGTGCGAGAATTAGCCTATAAGGGCTAGAGTTCATGGGCCAAGCAGTGTTTAAATGAATACAGTTTGTGTGTTGTTATTTCGGGCATAAGCTAGTCAAGCGGCCGGGGTGTTGGGGACACAGCCCCATCGCACCTATTTCAACAGAATGATTTCTGGATTTTTATCACTATGACCATGAGAGAAAAGCACTTAAAATACTTTGGGATTTTTATATCAGCTACAGAACTCTCAAAGAGCACAGAAATATATTTACATATATGTATTTGCTTATGAGCATATTCATATATATCAGAAGAGAGAGAAAAAAACCAAGGGGAGTAAAATATCAACAAATGAGGACTCTGGGTGAAAAGATAATAGATCTTTCATATTATTTTATAAATCTGAAATGATTTGAAAGTGAAAAGAGTTTTTAAAATAAATGCTTGCTTGTCCAACTTACAGCCCACAGGTCAGGCCAAATGATGTATAACTTATGAATAAGGTCCGAGACAAAACCATAAGCTTTCTGAAACCATTATGAGATTTATTTGTGGGGTGTTGTTTTGCTTTTTTGGTTTGTTTTACTTTCGAATTTTTAAATTTGATCATGTGGTTCTGGGGGTTGATCTTTCTAGATGACATTGTGTTGGAATGTCAGAAGTCTGGACAGCGTTATAGGCATTTGCCATCCCTTTACACTCAGTAACAAGCCCTTGAAAGATGAGTTCCCTGAATGTGTGCTGTGCTTTCAGAAACAGAAGCAAGTCCAATGCTGGGAGTGTGAGTTCCTCCTTGTGCAACCATGGTGCCCAACTTTGAGTTTAAATTTTAAGTAAATAAATGTTTTCATTTTAATGCCCAACACCAGAGGTAGCCTGTGGGGACATGGCCACTTTAGGGAGGGATATGGAGAAAACATGAGATTTGGGTCCAGATAGCCTTGCATCCCAAGAACTAATGGTTATTAGTTCTGTGTTTTTGAATAGTTAACTTCGGCTGATCATAGTTTTTTCCCTATGTAAAATGGGCTAAAGTATTTGTCCCACATCAGAGAGCTGGCGGCTCTAAGTGAGACACCAGCAATGGTTGTTTTTTGTCCATAGACTTCTAGTGAAGCTGGGGTGGTGCACCCCCAAAGCCTGTCGATGATACTGTTGGAGCCACCTGACAGTCTATGACACAGACCTAGAGGAGGAGCTGCCACCCCCAGATTCTAGTCTCTCTCTAGTGTCTATAGCTGTCATTAACCAAGCACCTGCCAAGCCCCGAAGACTCGGTCTCACTCATCCTCGCCAAACGTCCCTATTTTAACTGGGGAAACAAAAGTCAGAAAGACCACGGGACATACTATAGATACAAGAATACTCAGTGGCTGATACTGGACTTGAATCCAGGTCTCTACGACTTTGTAGACTGGGCTTCTTCTACTGTGCCGCCCGACCCAGCTGGTGGCATCTGCATGGAAGCCAACCTCTAAGGGAGATAAATTTGAGCAATATTTCCTAGAGACTAGTACCCAGGAGGATTATACTGGATCCATGGACATTTGTGCTTTACACGAGCATGAGGCCATCCATGTTCCCAATACTTCACTCTGTAGATGCTCAACCTGGTCAATAAGACTTGGTACTCGGAGGATAGCCTTCTTGAGGGACACACACCACAGGGTTTTGGCATTTCCTTACCCAGGTTTCAAACATGTCCTCCGGGCGCAAGCGACGCAGGGTGGGTCTGCAAAAGAGAGGAGTTTCCTTGAGTAGGGATCATCACAGGAGATACTGAGTCTCAGCTCCATGCAAATTAGAGGCTGGTTCACTTCCTTGAGCCTAAGGAGCCCTAAATTCACATCTGCCCCAAGGAAGTAGAGCTTTCCCACCTGCCCTGTCAGGAGAGAACTAGACCCAACCCACTCAGCCTAGTTTGATCCCAGGCACACCAAGTACATGGGGATGGGTCAGAGGGAGCAGCTCCTTCCCACTGTCCCCTCCTCAAAGAAAGGTACCGCTCCCAAGAACCCAGAGTCAATCCTGAACAAGAAAATGGGACACACAACAATTATTCCTATGCAGGATGCCAGTTTTAAACATTAGGGTCATCCATCAAAAACCTCAACAATAGACATCATGTTTACTCCTCCCCCAGTGCTGTCTTTCCTTAGGGACTGTCTAGGTGTCTGGGTCATGGCGCTTCAGCTTAGGTGAGCACATTTATTCGTGTCAGGGAGGAAGGAAAGATGAGACCGTGGACGCACTACTGTGGCCTGTGTTCCCAGGTGGCTCCAGAGGCAGAGGACTCCAGCTGGTGGGCCAGACCAGGCCAAGGCCTCTTGTTTGTGTGGCGAAACCCTGCCTGGGACACCGCCACGCCCATTTGTTTACTTGTGAGTGAGGGTTGCTTATCTGCTCCAAGCCCAGAGCTGAACAGCTGCGGCGAGGCCGTTTGACCCCAGAACTGTGTAAATATTTACTATGTGGTTCTTCAGTGAAAAATTTTTGCGGATCTCTTCTAGAGATGCTCTGAGTCTCAGCAAACATCCCTATCCCAGGAGCTGCCTGTAGAATTGGCCCTGGCTATATTATTACTTAATCACTCAGTCCTACCTGCTGTCTGAGACGTAGGGAGAATAACGACTCCAAGGTTGAAGAGTGGCCAAAGTTCCTCCCATAAAGCACCAGGAATGTTGCTCCACACATAGGAGTTGCCATTATAACTTTAGAGTTTTGTTCCTATCTTACTCTGGCTTGGGTAGTCTAGAAGGATGTAGTCTAACCCTATTTGCAAATGTAGAACCTTATTCAGAAGTGGTAACATCTGAATTGATATTGGCCAATGAATGCCAAAGCCACAGTGGCCAGTTCTGTTCTGTGGGGTGTCTTATTCTATGCTGTTGCTCTCCGTGGCCCTGGACTCTTGGCCGTTACCCAGACTCCCCCCGACCCCCACATGTACCTTTGATGCTCCGTCACAAACTCCACAATCTCCTCTTCGGTGTAAGGTTTGTTAGGGATGACAATGGGCTCATCCATGAACGGCTCGTAGAAGCCGACTTCATTCATCTTCAAGGACAACTTCTTTGCCACCTGTAAGAGGCAGAAATCAGACAATCGCTCACTGAATGCTGGCCTAGAGGAGCAGGGGGCTATCTACCCAAGAGAGGGTGCTTATTTTCTCTGGTAACAGCGTGAGCGCTTAGGGGCAATTTTAACTTAAATGTTGGAGTAGCAGGGACTCTCTCGCTTGTAGTCTGGGCTGGGTTTAATCTGCCATCAAAGCAGACTCAATAGAAAAGGACTGGAGAAGAAGCATGAATTGACCAAGTGGGGAACGCAAGTGTGTGGTTATCTTCCCTCTGCTGCGTTTGCCAGGGCCGGAGGGGCGAGCCTGCTCACAGGGTGGCTTTAACGGAAATAATTTGGCTGGAAAAGGCAATTGATGGAAACCGTTATCGTACACAGGTTCATAGAATCAAAAGCCAGGCCATTCACCTGTCCTTGATCCGCTCACAAACTCTAATTACTAGTTGAGCCAAAGCACGGGACTTACGAGGGCCTAGTCTCTGTCCCAAGCTTGCTAGGTGTTTTTTTTTTTTTGGGGGCACTGAGAACTGCCCAGCCATAAGACAACTAGCTGCTCTCCTTTGCCTAGGAGGGAAAGGCTCCCTGGGACCTAGAACTTTCAGTGCTAAAGTGCAGATTGTTCCCAGGAAGCCAGGATGAGTGGCTCACCCTATAACTAAGCTCAAAGAAAGCGCCTGAAGCCTGGCAGATTTTTTTCTCTCTTGTTAAAGGGGCCACACACCAGTGCTTTGTCAGGGTAGAATGGTTGCTGTGTTTGCCTGCAAAGTTGCTGAGCTCAGGACCTCTCATTGCGACATGCTTTGAGAGGCCTGGAATGTGCAAGGCTCAATAGGAAGCCAAATGCCATTCTCCGGCTCTGAGCCATGGTCCAAGAAAGCACAGGACGGAACAGTGGCTCCTTTTAAACTGCACACCACTGCCTAGGAGCTGACACCTTGCGGTGGTAACCAGAGCGCAGTGACCCAGTAACCCAGGGATTGGGACTACTGGGGGAAGGGTGGGTGTTACACAAGCTCTTACACAAAGAGGTCTATTCTGTGGAAACACTTCTATCCATAAGTATCATCACTTGCTATTAATTTCAGGTCGCTACATTCCAAAAGACAAGCCTTAATTCTGACATCCTACACAGGGTTGAAGCCAACAGGCCACACACAGGAAGAGCTACAGTCAGGCTGGGCCTTGGTGTAAGCCCATAACCCCATCCCTAGGGAGGCTGAGGCAGGGGGATTGTAAATTCAACATCAGATTAAACTAGAGTGAGCTCGAGACTAGTCTCACTTATGAAGATCTTGTCTCAAGATAAAGAGTGGCCTGAGGATGAAGTTCGGGGGTACGGAGCTCTGTCTAGCACGCGTGAGGTTCAGTCCCCAGCACACACACACAAAGAGAAAGGGGGGGGGAGGGGGGAGGGAGAGGGAGAGAGGGAGAGTCAGGAAGCAGGAGAGAGTCTTCCTTACACCTGATCGCCTCCCCTTGGGTGGGTACAGTGTAAATGAGCAGGGCCTGTATTGACATAATCCTTTGCACACCTACCTACGGTACAACAAACTTGAAAATGCCAGGTCCTGTTCTCCAGGTTCACTGGCTCACTCATATTCTAAGAGCCGGGCTTCGGGCTGATAAGAAATGATTACTTTGAATAAAAACTATAATACTGTCCCGCACGTGGCCATGGCTGCAGAGAGCTTTAGGTTGGTTGTTTGGCAGTGCTCGCTATGAACGTGGCCAGAGTACTGCTCCGCTCTGATTTACAAAGAACAATTTGGGTGGGTGGTTCATCAGGATGAGAAGGACAAGTCCACGTCTACACTCAGAGGGAAAAGTAAGCGCTCCCTCTAGTTTCTCGTATTCCTACATCCTTTCCTTTTGAGAATTCCCCTCTTCTTGACCATGTAAAGAAAGGAATCTGTAGATGCTCCGTAAATAACTACACTGGCAGCCTGCATTCTAACGAGATGTTGTATTGTCTGTCTTGAGTTCTCATTAATCCGTCCTACATCAGGGGAAGTAATCGTGCCCTGAAGGTGAGATCTGGTCAGACCCACAGGCATGTGCATGTCTGTGCCTGTGCACAGGGTCTCAGGACCCTGGATGCTACTGCCTTAGTCTGCAATGTTAAGTCTATGGATGTAAAATTGGATTGTTGAGGCCTTAAGTTCTAGTCTGCAAGAGCCTAAGATTTCTAACAGTCTCTTGGCTCTTTCCGCCCTCACCATCTGCATGGTAGCCCTGTACTTCTCTTTTTTTTCCAGCCTTGGATGATTGCATTTTGGATAGCAGGGACTGAAGGAGAGTTGACTGGCCAATGGATTTATTAGTTCAGTTTGTCTGTAAGTATTTATCAAGGCTTTCTTGCTAATTTCTTGTCCAGGGCAAGACTCTAGCAAAACCTGGCTCACGGGTGTTACAATTACATAATGATGCATTGTACTCTCAGATACCAGAAAGTTCCATAAAACTAAAATTGCCCTTGGTTTTCTTTTTTCCTTTAGTTGAAATAAAGCTTGGTACTTTCAAGCAAACTACAAAAGGCAATGAATATTTTCCTGGCCTTTGCATACACGGGGATTTTGACTGTGACTTTGGGGCAGTTTAACAGGCCAGTCCCGTGGTCAGCAATGAAGAGTCAGGTGAGCAGGAACCTGGATCTTCTCCACATCTCTCTTCTCCAGCAGCTCCTTCAGGCCCCGGTGTGACTAAATCTTCATTTCACTGGTCCCCAGGAAGAAGGAGAAGGGCAACTTTAGGGTAGCCTGATCTATACCATAGGGATCGTGTGGGTCCCAAACCTGTGTGTCCTGTAAAGTTCCCTGGGAGGAGTTTTTGTTTTGTTTTGGTTTTTGTTTGTTTGTTTCTAACTTTAGAGTCCTAGGGCCAGAAGGATGGATCAACAGTTACAAGCATATTCTGTTCCTGAAGAGGACTGGATCAGTTCCCAGCACCCATGTTAGGGGGCTCACAGCCACCTGTAACTCCAGTCCAAGGGGATCGGATGCCTCTGATAGCTGTGGGCTTCTGCACTCTCATACACACACACACACACACACACATGCATAATTAAAATAAAATAAATATTTCAAAAACTAATTCATAATTCCATGTTCTCACACAACCCTAAAAAAACAAATTTCCTAAAATAATTACATAGGTTAAGGTTTTTTTTCTTTTAGTTGCTTTATCATATATATGATATGTATAGATAATCATTTATATCTGTTGTATGTGTGTTCGTGCCCATTCATGTGATATGCCTAGTGTGTGTGTATGGAGGTCAGAGAGCAAATTATGGGAGTTAGTCCTTCATTTCACCATGTGAGTCCCTGGGATTGAACCCAGGTCATAAGCCTCGACGGCAAGCCTCTTTACCACTGAGCCATCTCGTTGGCCCACACAAAGACTTTTAAAAGCTCAGTAGAGGAAAGAAGATGAATTGACTGCAGCTGAGAATGCTGACATCGTTAAATCTACTCCAGCAGCCTTGTCCTCTTTACGGGCCTCTTGAATTGTGCTACTACTGGGTTCTTACTAGTTTTCTGCCCTTTCACCTTTCTCTCCCTGAACTCTAACTTCTACAAGGCCAATCACATGTCTTGCTTGATGCTGTTGAGGCCTGGAAGCCTAGAAGTCACTCGGTAAATAACTTGCTAACTGAGTGGATGAATCCACGAAAAAAAAAGAAAGACCACTGTGTCGAATGTTTTCTCCTTGTGTGAAAAACTGGACCCAAACTGATCTTGTGTTCCTAGCAGCCGCTTCTTCTCGGACTTTGTAATGGCCTAGGTCGCTTTGAGGCTGTTTTTTGTTTGTTTGTTTGTTTTGGGGGGTTTTGTTGTTGTTTTTCCAGATCAGATTTGCAATCTCCGATTGTTTGAGGATTCTCTCCCTTGTGTGGTCAGATGCTCTTGCCACAAACCTGGCTGTCTTCCTCCTCCTCGGCTTTATTACTTTTTCTGCTCTTGAGCTCATTCGCCCTCTGCTGGACATTGTGGAGTCCGCAGTCATGCCTTGTGGATCCCACCACCAAGTCCCGGGTGCCATTAGCCTGGTCCCCGTCTGTGTTCCATAGGGAGGCGCAGAAACTGCCGCTCTCTTTTCAAAGAGTGTGACCCTCACAAGGCCACGTGAGTGGCGGCACTTAGGACTCTGTCTTAGCTGGTAGTAGAGCAGCTTTGGGGGTTCGCTGGTCTCCCCGTCTTCACAGGCACAGACACGGAGTCACACTCTGGCTAGGCCGGAAGGCACTTCTAAAAACAAACTGCCCTGAACTCTGAACACACTGCCACTCAGAAAACTAGGGACCTGGTGATTAGCCACGCCCATCTGCCCAGGATTCTCTCCCTTCTTCCCTTCTCACGAACCTGCTTTATTTTATTTTTTTTTTTTTTTAAAAATTACACTGGGTCCCATCAAGAAATTTTCATGCAACTGTGTAATCTCTCCATACTTCACTACCCTTGTCTTCCTTTTTATTTTCCTAAGAGAGTTTTACTTCTAATTTTCATGCCACAGTATTACAGGGTTTTGTATATAATATAAAATATAGAACCCCTGCATTACAGAAAACATGATAACTGTGTTCCCTAGACCGACTCAGTTTACTCCATATGATGACCTCCAATTGCATACATTTTCCTGCAAACAGCTTCATTCTTTGTGGCTGGAAAATGGTCATTATGTGTACATATCATTTTATAGATTTTGTTTTTATTTTATGCGCGTGGATATCTTATATACAACTTGTGTTTCTGGAGAGGTCAAAGAGGGCATGGAAACCCTGGAACTGGAGTTACAGACAATTGTGAGCCACTTCATGGGGCCTAGGACTCAAACCTGGGTCCTCTGGAAGAGCAGCCAGTGCTCTTTACTGCTGGGCTGTCTCTCCAGCCCCACATTTCCTTTAACTACTCCTCTGTTGATGAACACCAGTTCTTTTCTCTCCGACGGGGTCCCACGTACCCAGGCTGGCTTTGAACTCCCTGTGCCGCTGAGGACGACCTTGAATACCCTGTTTGTGTGCTCCTGTATGCAGTGCTGGAGATCAAACCTAGAACTTGGTGCACGTTAGGCAAACACTATACCAACTGAGCTACGTCCTCAGCACTCAGAGCTACAGTTTTAATCAACCCTGGCTCAGCAAAAGCAGAGGCCAGTGACGGCGCCAACTTGGGCTTCCTCATTCATCCTCGCCTAAAACACTGTTGTGACCGCCCCTCCAACCAGTTCTAGATGTCTTTGGTTAACATCAGTTCTTATAGCTAGTTAACATCTCCTGCACATTTGCGATGGCCATACTCCAGCCACACACTCCACCCGTGGCTTCCTTCTCTGCGCACAGCTATACAGAAGAGCATCTTTGACATCAGGTGAGATTCAGACGACAGTCAGCCTTACCTCTCACTGACTGTGATCAAACCCACTTATCGCTCCTTGCCTTGTACAGTGAGAATACTGGCTCCTCTGGTAGGCCCTGAGAAGATGGAATGCCCATCCCTGTGCATATTAAGCACTTAAGAAATGATTATTCTCCCCACCTTGCCGCTCCTGTTCAAAAGTTGTCCCAATTCTAAACCTCAGCCAATGAGGGCAAACTGTCTTTGAATTCGGGTTACATTGGATCCGGTAGTTAGCTTTTCCTGTTGGGTTATGGGCTTGAATATAGGGACCACAGCCTCAGAAGTGCTTTTCCAGACTCTTCTAACACTTGTGGACAAAGAGGCAAAGAAGGATGAGGGGTTTGAGTTGTCCATGCCACTGAATGTGTTGAAATGGTTCTCAAAGGTACTTACCCCCTTGTCAAAGGTGGCGAAGAACTTGATGTAGGGCTGGAAGTGTTCGGCTGCCTCTTGGAAGGCTTTGTAGTCTAGGAGGGAAGCCACGGGAGAAAGGGACATTTGCAGGAGGCAAACTACACACTTGGAGAGAACTGAGTTAAATCACTATTTAGTACTATTTCAAAAGTAGTTGGAGCTGAAATTGACTGGCATCCTTCCCCCACAGGTTTGTGAACAGAAAGCAAGAAATTGGGGAAACTGAGGAAGAGGAAGGAAAAAAAGACATGGAAAAACCCCGAATCAAAAAAAAAAAAAAATAATCACATGGAAAGCTCCAAATCAAATGGAAAAGAAAAACCAAAACCTTTCTTCCACCCAAATGCAGGGAGTTACAGCTGCACCGCAGAAGATGCTGCCTCTGCATAAATGAGCCCATAATCGGAAGGAAACGGACCGCACTGTGCTTACAGTTAAAAGGAAGACAGGACCCAATGAAGCTTTTCACATTTCTCCAAAGAAGGGCTCCTAGGTATGTCTTACGGTTGGTTTTCCTTTTTAAAAGCAAGTTGGTTTTCGCAGCCCTCCTCGCCATCCCCCAGCTGTTGCATCCTCTCTGCCTCCTTTTCTGTCCTGTTCCCTGAGCCCTGGGGGAAGGGCTTGATGGTAGAGACGCCCCACCTACACTGGACACTCCCAGCTTCTGCACTGAGCCACAGCCAGGAGTGGCTTTCTAGCCAAGCTTGGGAGCTACACAAACCTCTGGATATAAACTTAAGTATTTATTTCTTGGTTTGTGCTGATTTGTTTTTTGAGACAGGGGTTCCTCTGTGTAGCCCAGGTTGTCCTGGAACTCACTCTGTAGACTATACTGGCCTTAAGCTCATAGAGATCCACGTCCCTCTCTGCCTCCCAGCTGCTGTGGTTAAAAGCCTGTGCCATCACATACGGTTAAATATAAATATTTAGAAGTCAGTTTGATAATGTGAGATATGATAGGGGGTCCTGGGAGGAATTCAGGAGGGCAGTCAGGGGTGAATATGATCAAAATTGTGTGTGTATGTGTGTGTGTGTGTGTGTGTGTGTGTGTGTGTGAAATGTTCAAAGACTAAAACGAGGTTTAACTTTTAAACCCTGACCCTCTAAGATTATTTTAAGCCAAGCCTATACTTGACTCTGGTTTCAAACGTGTATCCAAATTTGTCACGGGAGGACGGAACCACACCCGTGTGAGAACACTGCACTTTACTACACCTGGGCAGGGACTGCGCGAGGTGTCTGGAGTCGGGCCTTCCCTTGAAGGATGGGAAGGGTGGTTCTTGTAAATTTTACAACCTGCAGTCCCGCCGTGATGGACTCTTCAGAAGATTGACTTTCCTCCCCTCTCACTGGATTTTATACTCTGGAATTAGGCAGATTTGTATAAGATTCGGTCATAGATTGTTTCAGAATAATGCTGGCTCAGCAATGCCCAGGTAAAACAGACGAACACACTAATGTAAAGTCTTTTGTTCTGGGGAGAGCACGGGGTTTCAGGAACCACAGCCTGGGGAAATATCTCAGTCAGTTAAGTAGCTGCCTGGTAAACTCAAGGACTTGAGTCTGGGGTTCAGTACCCAGAACCCAGATAATAAGACCCCATAAGAAGCTTTACCTTCTCTGAAGAATGGATGGGAAGTGGGGTGGAGAGGTGTGTGTGTAGGGGGAACAGGAAGAGGGGAGGGAGTAGGAACTGGGACTGGTATGTAAAAATGAGAAAAGATCATTTTTAAAATATAAATAAAATTTAAACAAACAAACAAACAAATAAAAACACGGCAGGGTGACAGATGCTTGTCACTTCAGTGCTGAGGAGGCAGAGACAAGTGGATCCCTGAGGTGGTTGCTGGCCCCTACTTGGAAAGTCCCAGGCCAGTAAGAGACTCTGTTTTTTTTGGGGGGGGGAATTAAAGGGAGGGAGCAGGAGGAGGGGAAGGAGGGGTGAATGTCCTAAAGATGAATAAAAATAAAAATTTGAACTAAAAAAAATTAAAGCCTGTTCTCTGTTGCACTCACATCTACATGAACACACTCTCACACACACACATGTGCACACATGCATGCACTCATATGCACACACAAACAGGTATACACACAGGCTGAGCATCTAACTAAGTTTAACTTTAAAGTACAGGGTCTCCTGTAGCACCAGCTGCTGCCCTTCAACATCCTACCTCTACACCCCAAGCACTAGAACTATAGACATAAGTTACCACCATCAGCTAGTATTTAGATTTTACTAATAATTACAAAACAAGTTGGGCCACATCTATGTATGCATTCCTAAGTAAAAACATGACTTATTTTTTCCATACATAATATGCTATGGAAAGATATGGTTGGGTTTCAATCCCATTCATGGTCACAAGAAATAAGAAGATTGTACCTGTGACCAAGAAGAAGAGTTTGTTATCTGGATGTGGGGATGCTTGGGTTCATGAAGAGCGGGGACCAGACTGGCTAAATTATGTCCAATGGTGAGAAAAGAATGTTAGCAGCGACGGAAAAGGCAATGAGTGTGGCCCGTTCCTCTGCCACCATCCAGTGTGTGAACAAGTCCGTTACCAATGTGGTTTTCAAGGAACTGAAGAGGCTGGCACTTGAAGCCGTCCTTGGGAATTGCATGCCTCTATTTTAAGCCTCACACCTAAAGTCACAAAGCTGCCTTCTTGGAAGTGACTCAAGAGTCTCCTTCCAGATCAGAAAACTATATATATATTTGTTCCCCATCTCAGCTCCTTTTTTGTTACCATTACATAAGAAGATTAATAAGTAAATAAATAATAAAGCGAGGAAGCCCAAATCCCTTGCAGGTTACCCTCATTTTATGCCTACACGCATAATCACATTTGCCGTCCCCTGACAGGGATTGCAAGGCCTTGCAAGCATAGCCCGCTAGTTAAGGGTATGAGCACTAAAGTTGACATTCTGGCTTCAGCATCCGTGAGTGACAAGAGACAGTTAATCAGACCTTTGTGTCCCACCCCTTCACCATCATTAAAACGCAGATAACTGCTTGGACAGAACAACCCCACTTGTCTGTCACGAGGCAATCTTCTAGGCACAGGCCCTGGCTATTACAGATGGTTATAAAATGGGGTCGTTCTGGTTTCTGTCAGTGTGGCAGAGGGGAAGGTACTGGAATGCACTTTCTGTGCTGCTCTTGGCCTTGACCCCTCCTGAGCTGTTGCACCAGGGTTGGTGGAGGAGAGGGAGGGCGGAGCGTAGGAACAAAGGGAGAGGGAGAACTGGATCGGGAAGCAGAGCAGCTCTCAGCTCACTTGTGCCAGGGCTCAGGTAAGGTTTCTGCTCTGTTTCGTCTTTTAACGACTCAGAAAGTGACCCTTCCTGTTCACTCCCCCGTGCGTCTCTAGACCTCCAGTCTCCACCCTCTCTTGCCTGCACACCCACTGCCGTGATGCTGATGAAGGGCCCTTGGCTCACACACAACCTGGCCACAAAACCTTCATAGGAATCTGCCCAAGGGTGTGGTGGCATCACAGGCACAGATGAATGGCCAGCTGTGGGCTCGACCAGAGATTTTCCATGTTTTCTAGCAACTACTGAGCCCATCCCCACCCAAAACTCAATTCTCTCCTGCTGACAGGGAAGCTCTCCAGCTAGAACTGCCAACATCAGGAAGATGTCCACTGGGTGTCCCATTTTACAGGAGACCCTGATGGGGAGGCAGGCAGGTGGGAGAGTAGAGGGAGGGAGAAGACAGTTTGTTCTGTAGAACACATGCATAATAACACATACACACACTTATACATACAATAACATACATGTAAAAACACACATACATCAACACATATAGTAACACACAATAACACACATAGACAATCACACACACACACACACACCTTCAAGGCTAGAAAACATGACCTGCCCTTAATGTTTTTTTCAACTCACCTCCTATTTTGCACAGTTTCTGCCCGTGTCCCTTTGCACAGGCAACAAGAAGAAATTCAAGTTCTACTCCCCCCTGCAAAAGAGATGTTAAAGCCACACCCTCTTGTGGGTTAACCTAGCACCCTTGTTAGGGCTAGCCTTCAGACTCGTGTTGACAGAAAACTTACATTCGGAGTCCTCATTCTTGAAAAAGCCGAGGAGCTTGATCTGGTCCTCGATGCGCTCGAAGGCCTGGACTTCCAGCTTGTTGTTCACGATCTCCACTGGGTCTTCGATGAGCTGAAATCACACACACAGGCACAGACATGGTCACAGACACACAGACACACACATAAAGATGTTCAAATAAGAGAGATCTTCTCCCCCCAGTGGAAGAGAGAACACTTTGGAGAGAAGGGAACTTGGGCACAACTTGAGCAAATAGGCAATGAGATGAAAAGAACACTAAGTCAGGTCACGTTTTCTAGCTTGGAAGGTGTGTGTGTGTGTGTGTGTGTGTGTGTGTGTGTGTGTGTGATTGTGTGTGTGATTGTGTACATGGACACAAAGGTCTTGAATTTACATCCTATTCTACCCCATTGTGCATAGCAGGAATTTTTCTGTCCTGGGGAGGGGGTACTCTATTCCTCTTGACAGTTATTTTTTTAAATTATATCTTAAGTTATAAATTGACAAATATATATA